ACCAAATAAGGGGCTTAAAAGCAGAACTGAGAGGACTTAGCGAGGCCGACCAATTCAAAGTGATGCGCAAACGCGTACGATCGAAGAAGTACGAGGACTTTCTCTACCAATGCTATCCCAAAGACTTMGTGTTAAGCAGCAAAAGAGCAGCACAATCCCGAATACAAAAAGATCTACTTAAAATACACTGGGAAAGGTTCCCCAAGCACCCCGTACCCGTCTCCTACAAACCTCGCGACACCCGCATGCAAAGAAGAGACGTCTGCGTACCTGGCACGGACATCATGCTGCAAAACGCAGTAACGCACGACAAAGCCTGGGTGCCCATAGGAAAGGTAGAAAAAATAACCTCCCATCCGGACTGGCGCTTGGGCTATTGCATGACAGTCCACAGCGCGCAAGGTCTTACCATAAAAGAAACCTTATGGATCATAGACCAGCGGCTGTGTTGGAGCAACCTTATTTACACCGCCGTAAGCAGGGTGGAGTACGCCAAACAACTAAAAAGAGCCTGGGGTCCGCAACTGCGTTATGACAGAACACCAAAGGACGTAGCCAAAGAAAGCATTGCTAAGAAACTCCTTCGCTACAAGCGGCACGACGAAGAAAAAGATTTGACGTTCGACCTATGTGTGGACGACGTCTATAAGAAAGGGGCAAGGTGTGCCAAGTGTAACATACCACTACTATGGAGGTTTGACCCGAATGACGATCMGCAATTCTCCGTGGATCGTATCAATAATAAGCGCGGGCATTGTAGAGGCAACGTAAGGCTGACATGCCTAGAGTGCAATCGGGCGCGCGGAGCAGCACTACTTTGAGTCTTTGGGGACTATGAGCAGCTCTTCCTTGACGAATCCACGACTTGGGCCATCTAGGTAATACAACAAGGGCTGCCCTTCCTTGGTGACGGACTTCGAAATGTCATATGTTTCCAGAGACSAGTTAGGATCCGTGGCTCTCTTACTGCCACCTTCGAGTTCCCCCGGCTGATAAARGTATCTGACCACTATGTCGCGGGGGAGCTTTTTTTCCTTTAGTCCGACCGCCCTTGAGCTTCTGACGTAGGACTTGTRKTCCACGTGTTTCTTCTTTATGGCGTCCTTGGGTTTCAATCCCGTAGCCCTGGCCTCCTCGTTGTTCAAAGCCGCGATGACCTGGGKGAGCCTCTGAGTCCATTCCCTGTTGCGTTTGGAGGGATCTTTCAGCTCTTTCCAATACTGGTATCCAAAGAGGCGCTCGGCCAGGGTCTTATTGAATCTTTCGACAATGCTCTGGCCCCTGTGGTACTCTGCTT